ACTGCGAAGATCTTTTTTCATTCATCTGTATAATACCAATTGCTGTTAATATTGCGAATTATAGAAGAACGTTTGGTCTCAAATTCCTTTTCTTTTTATAATGCAGGGAAAATCTTTCAAAGATACCCGCCCTCTCGGGGGGTGGACCGGTTTCTTCCTCATTATTATTTGTTAATTTTTTCTTAAATAAGCTTCTCTCGCAATTCAGTTTTACTTCCAAAATTGCCACTGCAGTTAATAATGATAAATCATAATTAAATAAATGTTTTCTTAATATTCAGTATATCTATTTATCATTTATGTAACAATTATATTATACGGCAGTTTATACAATTATTTCAATGACTGAGTATACAATGTGTACAATATTTGGTTCTATAGAAAGAAATTCAGTTAACAATTATTTTGCGTTCATTATGGTAACTATTGAATGTCCTAAAGTGAATAAACTAAGCTTTGGGGAGGTGGTCTCCTTGTGCGTGGAAGCCAGTTTCGTCGGCGACGTAATTGACGGTGTACGCAACGTTGGTTTCCGGATCGACGTAGGAGAAAGTTCCACGAACTTTTAAGAATTGACCGTCACTTCCTCCTTCGACTACCTCGGCAGACTCTTGCTTGGCTTGTCCATCAGACAGTTGATAGCCGTAATTGTATCCGCCGACACCAATGTTGTCGGAGAGGTCTTGTTTGACGACGACTGTTTCTTGATTAGCTCCATGAACAACTCCTTGAGGAGCTGCGTAAGAGATCGCAATGAAAGCGAATAATGCAATAATCTGAAAAATCGAATAAGATCATTAATTCAAATGATTTAAATAACAATAATTATATTGTAATGTTCACATTAAAACAGATAAAATTAGTTGGAATTAAAAATCTAATGGATAAAATTAAAAAATATTGTTTTTCTAAATGTTAAAGAAACATAAAAGATTTTATCATTCTACAATTCTTCTAAAGATTATGTTTGTATGATAGAATTCATAATGAAAATTGATATACCCAGCTACTGTGATACGTACGATTTTCATATTGGAGTTCGTGTGTACGTTTAATTTCAGTTGAAAGACTGATGCCGATACTGGGAACCGTCCCGTATTTTATAGTGGTCCTCCTGCCTAAAATCACACGGCTCCACTATAATTTTACCTTTCACCTTTTCTTCCTTCCTGACCTTCAGTAATGTTCGTCAAATTTGAAGATTTCAACTTGGTTTATGATATTCGGCACGAGACTTCCTTGGGAAACTGCTATGATAATTTAAATAGATTTTTTAAATTAACTTCGTGATATTTTTAGAAAATAAAATATTGCAACTTCTNTGCACGTACAATAACTTGTTAAGAGATAGTGAAATTAATTTCTGTAATCTACAATAAAAATATTAATATCATTTAATAGTTTTTCTTATACTATCATAAAATTTCTGTATTTATAAGCTTATTTGAAGATCTGTTGATTCATATACGATATAATACGTATCGCTGTTGGAAAGCAATTTGGTTGTAAATTCCAAATTATAGAAAATTCATTTCTTACGTCATTTTTCTTAATTCTTTTTTACGTCAGATCGTGTATATCTCATAAACATACAATGAAGGTAAGGACTGAACACTAGTTCACAACTACTGTTATTTGCTATAAATTAAAAAAAAATAATGAGCTAAACTCACTATCATTTCCGTTTCGTGATATCGTAAATTCTAAAGAAATATCTTTTGCAGCATTTATACTACCCGAAGATTTTATGTCGCTAACAATTATATGTTTGCCATCTTTACTTTTTTATTATAAGTCCTTTCCAGTGCCGATATGTTCTACTAAATTGTGATTTAGACTCCAAAAAATGTATTTTTATTGATAATTTTTATTCTTTATATGAACAATAAAACTATATTGTGTTTTATTAGAACACAGTTCAATTTTCTTTATAAGTTTATTTTATGTTGGGTGCGAATATATTTTATTGAAAAAGTTCCATGGTAAAAAATGATATTGAACGACAACACAATTCTGTTGTGCTTATTAATAAGCTTAGTTAAGTTATATACAGTTGTCAAATACATGTACTAGAGATCATGTAACTTCAATTTTCTTATGTATAATTCTAAACTATTAAGTATTTAGAATTGTCTGTACAAGTATCACTGATTGTTGTATGTAGCGAATTTTTGTTTAGATTCACAATCAATTACAATGAACTTAATTTGATTTTTAACACACTGTTAACGAAAAGTACGAGTTGTTATCATACTTTTTTCAATTCAAATTCGCGTCATCTATCTATATTTCTTTATTGAAAATCTTTTATTGATTTCGTTGAATAAAATTTTTCTTGTACATTTTTTCAACGTCATATTTTCCAAAAATTTATGGGAGATTCGACCCATTTCACAGTATACATCAGCAATGTTATAAAAATTTAGTGCTTTATGACAATAAATATAATTCAGCGAAGAGTTAATAAAAGTAGACTGATTATGAGCTGCCGCTGTGATTCTCACATCAGCTCGTTAATTCAAGTGGGATGGTAAGGTAAGGAGAGCAGAACGAACGTACGAAATATATTGTTCTTAAAAGTGAGACATTTATTTAAAGCTAACAAGTGTGTACAATTTAGTGGGGGAGGTGTTCGCCCTGTGGTTGGTAACCATTCTCATCAGCGATATAGTTGACGGTGAATTTAACGTTGGTTTCAGGGTCAACGTAAGAGTAAGTGCCACGGACAACAAGATGCTCGTTCTCGGTTCCTTGATTAATCAGTTCGGCGCTTTCCTGATGGGACTGGCCGTTGGAAAGCTCGTAGCCATACTGGTACCCATCCACGCCTATGTTGTCAAGGGGTGTCTCTTTGACTAACAACACGTTGTCGTGTGGAACTTTATTTTGAGGTGGAGCGGCATAGGCAACGGCGGCAACGAAAGCCAAAGCGACGATCTGTAATATATTAGAAAATTGTATTAATATGAATGATACTTGAACGAAGTCGTGTAATTAAATGTAAATCATGAATGAATTGTCGATGATGAATAAAATGCCTGCTATATCGCTAATGTAAAAGCTGTAATTATATATTTGAAGAAGTTCGTATGATCATTCCCCACTGCACTCGAATAATCTTATTCTATACGATTTTAATTGTTTTATTAAATAATAATGTGAAATTTTTTTAAAATTAATATTAAGAAAATAATAAATATTTAGTAGTGTTTCAGATATATCTACAGCATAAAATAGTTTAAATAGTCACTGTCTTTCGGTTATGGGAACACCGGAACTCTGCAGTCAATGATTTTATATAAATATCGTACTTCCATCTCTAGTTATTAATAATATAGCAATAATTGCATGATGCTAGTTGCGAGAATTGTAAATTTCAACAATTTCTATAGTTTTGAAAATTCACTAATATAGGAAAATTTTTAATTCGTATTATAAGTAAAAGAGGTTCTATAATGAATCACGATGCACACTTGATATCCTTAGGAAGAAATGTCGTTAGTAAACAAAGAAGGCACGCACCAGCTTCATGATTGTTTAAATTGGATTGAAACTTTCTCGGAGCGTCGAGGATGAGACAGGTGTTGACCTGAGATGAGCTAGATCACTTTACTGATTCGATGGTGATCCACGGGACCATTATATACTCGGATTTCCAAATGAATTTTGCCCCCTCCATGGGCACTGGCTACCCAAAATTCTTCGGCGAAGATGTCGAAATCCCCCGTATGGCATTGGCTGGCTCTCAGTGGTAGAACGATAACCGACAAAGGATGAGGCGGTGAATGTCAGCCAAGAATTCAAGGAAGAGTCGCCACGAGCGAAAATCGCATGCGGTTTCACCGTAGTCTCGCGTGGATCTTCGTTCGGCTTACCAAACTTGGATGGAACAATGGACGAGATCAGAAAATCCACAAGAATGATATATGGGGTTTAAGCTTCACCTCGCAGGAGTTGACGCGGAGTAACGAACATAATCATGTCATGAGGAAGAACATGAATTTGAACATGACGTAAGATGAAAAATTTACGAGTTCAGCAATGGTGAGATGCAGACGTGAAATTCTGATTCGAAGAAATAAGAACATTAAAAAATTTCCCTAATTAAGCAAGGATTAATAAGAAAGTAAAGAATTTTACTCAAGTTCGTATCAACGCTTTTATATCCTTAGCATTGAATCTAAGAAAGAATCATATGATCTAATTTAATATAAAATGTGCAATATTTATTTGTAGGATTTTTATGCATTTATAAAAAACATAAATGTGCTGAATTTTAAACAGTGCACTCAGCATGCAAAAGCATATATACACACTATTGGTAGGAAAGTGAATACCATATAACATTTAATTCATGAATGCAAACCATATCTAAATTTCATTTCTCAATTTTCTCTTCTAAATATTGTTTTTTTTATAAAAGTCTACAGTCTATTTTCAGTTTCATTTTGTTTATTTTCTAATTAAGTTTTTGGAAGATATATTTGCATTATTAATATATTGATAATACATATACCTAATTGGAAATCGTAAGAAAGGTGTATTTTTAATGTGTCCTTCTGAATATTCAAATACCTCATCGTACCTTATGCAAATCCAAGATATTTTGTACGATTGTTTTTAGATAAAAAGAATGGCTAGGAATCTGCGACATAATTCATTACAAACTGGATGTGGCTTGTCATTACGACACACCCGTTCTTACTGCTCATCGTCATTTACATTCTTTTTACAAATTGATTGACGATGGAAGTTACAATATACGAAGGTCGCGCAGACGACGACGCGAGCATTCATCTTTTCGAAAGGTGAATCTCGATGTTCGACAAGAAGTCATATTCAATTCGTTATAACATATGCATGTATTTCGATTTCATCGTTGATTTTTTATATTACTAAAGAAATGTTATAACGAACCATTTTTTATGTACGGAAAGTTCAAATTTTAACTGAAGAATATTAATATATGTATGTGGTTCTTAAAATATTATATGTATACGTGTGTATCTTCCCATTTAATCTTATATTTTAATTTTTTTTTTAATATTTCATTCAAATTTCATAGAAAATGTCAATTTTGTAAAAATATTCTCGCCAAATTTTTTGTTGCCTCAGCATCTTTCATTCCACGTGTCGTAATATCATATTATTAATAGTAGACACGATGACGTCTCGCTTTCATGGGCGATGGTCACCAGTTCCTAATTCTTGCAAATGTATTCGGTTTAGTAAATATCAAAAATAAAGATCACTAGGCAAGCGTCACTCGGGTGATAATGATTGCGTTTAGGCAACCTTGTCTTTGCAGGTCTCGGGCCTCTTCCGCGTAGAACGCATCGAAGAGTAGGAACGAGACCATTCTCCATTGTGTCTAACAGAGTCCCAGGACAGGAGGAGGAAATACGAAAAAGGAGCAGACGAAAATACGTGACGAAGTTGGAAAAGAAAGTTTGTGGGTGTTACGTAAGAGACGGAGGCCCCTTATGCTGATGCTCGAAAGAGCATCACCGAAGCATCCGCGCAGAAGAGGAACGAGACGATGGGGAGAAGGAGAGAGACGTGTCCGGGGCGCTGGATGATCTATGTGTCTCCTTTGCGTTACGAATCTTCTTTCTTCGAAATTTATCTTCAAAATTATTTCTTGCAAAGTTTCTCTTATTAGATTAAAGATGTATGACCTGAGACCTTGATAAGATTCAGATTCCTTATTTTACATTTTCTTTCTTTGCGAACGATTTGACAAATTTTAGTAGCCATTTGAATAGTCGATAATCAGAATACTAATTTTTATTTTCATTAATTCGGTAAAAGCAAATAGTTTCAGAGAAATTTCCAAATTGATCAACTTTCTTTTCGTAAGATGTTTCTCCACCTACAAGATACTCGTTGTAAATATAGGTGACACGATATTAGATAACCAGCGTTATAGGCCCGTACATCCGTACACAGGTCGTGACTTTCATCTTTTTACCATAGCTGAAAGAGCGATGATCTTGTATAATCGATTGTGCACGAGGCGGAGGAGGATCCGCTTCCTAAGATTAGGTGATGGAATAATTGAATAGGCCAGTAACGGGTTTAACCGAGCAATGTAAGCGTAAAAGTTAATCATTTCTAATTACCATAGCAAACTCTTCTTTTTGAATTATAATTTATAATAAAAACGACTGTACTGTGCTGAAAAATGTGCTTTTCAATTCGTACCATTCTGAATCCGAACATTAAACTCCCCTTCATATAATAACAACCCTTTGCAAATTGATACATGATTTACTACTGCATGCACTTACAATGCATTTACAAAGTGTGCCATCAGTATTAAAATAAGCCAAGGAGAACCACGGAGAGGTTACACGATTCCTCAATGTTACGCAGCATCTCGAACCTTGATCACCCAGTGACTTTGGACCTTGAAGCAATATAATAGGATTTCTTCTTATTTTTTGAAATTCGATCCTGTAGTTTCAAGGGAAGTAAAAATCACCGATACGGAGAAACCTAAAGAATTGGCTAAAAATTGTAGAAGATTTTTAAATAAAAATTAATCACAATGTAAATTATACTGATTATAACACTTGAAAATCTAGTATACATTATAGGTAATTCAAAGTTCCTGCATGTTAGTATTGATTCCAGGCTACATTCCATCAATGAGGGGATCAATCGTGCCGGAACTAGTCGGAACCATAGTCGAAGTCAATTATTCCGTTAAAGTCTCTCGTGTCATCACTGACTTGAATCCATCACTGATATCGTCCCGAGCAATCTCACGGTTCGTGCAACCGATGTAAAGCGTTCAAACGTAACGCTTATGTAAATAGTTTCAAACGAGCTCGTCCCTGCGATGCTTATCAATATTGAATTATTACGGCCGAGGTCAACTTCCTGTTTCACATTTTTCTACGTATTATAATTGTTCTCATACTGGGAATGAATCATAAAAATTACTAATTGATAACGTCTATTCACATCGTGTTACTGAAATTCAATTAATATGTACGAAATTATCTAAAAACGAAATTGGCTAGTAAAGCACTTATAAATTCCATTTCACCGAATCGAATACACAATCGTTGTTTCGAGAGAGATTCTCAGAAAATTTCACTCTCTCTCGAAAGCCTGAACTGGCGTTAAGATTCATCGTGTTACAAAGAAGTAATTCAGCGATTCTTCAGCATCGAACAACTTATTCTTGTGTAAATTAATTTAAATATAATGCATTAAGAGTCCATCGTGCGTGTCGTTTAATCGAATGTACGGTAATAATTAAACCCTGCAAGTCGAGTGAGTGCAATTAAGAACGGATGGTCTGACCTCCTCGAGCTCGATGGAAACAAAAATTGTAAATTAGGACGAGAGCCCGAGACCGCTTTTCAACGAAGAAGACCCCGGAATTTCGCAAGCTAGACTGCGCCGAGGTCGGGCTTAAAGACCCTCCTGGTTGCGTAATGTTGCGGGCAACCATGATCGCACGGATCGGTTAAAATGCCATCACACTTTCGGCAGATTCATCTGCGCCACCTCGATTGCGTCTGCATCGCACGGTTTCATCGTTACAGCGGGTACGGTACAGAAATGCACGCAGGTGAATCCGGAGGTCCATTAATTCGTTCGGAGTGTAATAACGTGACGAAGAAAAGCAGTGAGAAGGACGTAGAAAGTATTTCTTTACCGTTCTTGCGTAACGAACGTGTAACTTCTATTGATTTAAAAACTAAACTTATCACAAAACTAGATAGAAAACAATACAGAAACTGTAGAACGAAATATATGTTACTTAATTGGTAATAATAATATTTTATACGAAAAGTATGTGACGATTTTT